TTTTTTTTTTTTTGTAGCCCTCGGTAGAGTGCTGTGGCATCACAGCAACCTCCAGTTCTTGGGCTTAGGCGATTCTCTTTGTGGTGCCCACCACAAAGCTCAGCTATTTTTTGTTGCAGTTTGGGCAGGGCCCGGTTTGAACCCGCCACCCTCTGTATTTGGGGCCAGCACCCTACCCACTGAGCCACAGGCACCGCCCAGTATTTCCTTATTCTTTCTAATGTTTATATGATTCCTTCTTGTATTCCTGATGTTGGTATTTCATGCATTTCCTCTGTTTTTGTTGATTAATCAAATTAGAAACTCATTAATTTTATTAATCTTTTCAAAGAACCAGCTTTTATTTTCATCAATTTCTTATTGTTTTTCTGTTTTCTCCAAAGGATTTACCCTCTGTAATAGCCTGCCCTCTATTTAGTTTGGATTTACTTTTTTTTTTTACTTTTTTTGTTTTTTTCCTTATTTTCAGACAGAGTCTCACTCTGTAGCCCTGGGTAGAGTGCTGTGGCATCATAGCTCACAGAAATCTCAAACTCTTGGGCTTGAGCAATCCTCTCTCCTCAACCTCCCAAATAGCTGGAACTGCAGGTGCCAGCCACAACAGCCAGCTATTTTTTTTATTTTTAGCAGAGACAGAGTCTTGCTCTTATTCAGGATGGTCTTGAACTCCTGAGCTCAAGCAATCCACCCACCTTGACCTACTTTTTTTTTATTTACTACCTTCTTAAGATAAAAGCCTAGAGGGCTGATTTAATATCTTGTTTTCTAATGTAAACAAAGCTATAAATTTCTTGCTAAGTACTACTTTGGTTGTATCCCAGAAATTTTGATATACTGTGGTTTCAACTTCACTCAGTTAAAATATTTGCTATTTTCCCTCTGATTTTATTTCTGACCCATGAGTTCTGAGCATATTGTTTAATTTTCAACTATTTGTGCATTTTTCCATATAACTTCCTATTGTTGATTTCAAATTTAATTCCATTTTTTGTCAGAAAATATAATTGATATGATTTCAGCAGTTTTTAATGTATTGGGATTTGTGTCATCACATTTACATGTTGCATTGGCACTTGAAAAGAATGGAAAGTATGTGTATCTGCTGTTTTCGGCCAGAACTTTATATAAATTTCATTTGGGTTATGGTGGTTGATAGTATTGTTCCAATGTTCCATATCACTGTGAATTTTCTGTGGGGTTTTACTAGTGTTATTTACTGAGACAATTATTGAAATCTCTACTTATAATTATTGGTCTATTTTTACTTTTGAGCTTTTTCAGTTTTTGCTTCATATACTTTGAAATTTTAAGTTTGTATACATTCAAATTACCATTATCTACCTGTTTTACTGAACTATTCAGCATTATAAAGTGGGACTCTTTGCCTCTAGTATTACCCCTTCTCTTAAGATCTACTTTTTGACATTAATAACATCGGCTGTTATATTTACTCATAGGTATATCTTTTCCGTTCTTTTTTCTTCCATCAATACATCTCTTGCAAGCAATCCTGGCTTTTGCTTTTTTATTCAGTCTGCCAACATCAGTCTTTTTATTTGGAGTGTTTAGTCTCAATTCACATTCATAATACTGATATGGTTGATTTAGGCTTGCTGTTATGCTCTTTTTTAAAAATAAAAATCTTCTTGAGACATTTGGAGATCACATGAAGAAACAATACAAAGAGACCTTATATTGTCTTTTATAATTTTCCTTAATATCTTGAAAATCTGTATAACATTACCCCAGGTTATTTATTGATAGAATTGATATATAGAACATTTTTGTCACCACAAGGACCTCTTATGTGGTCACCCCATGTGGTCACACCCACTTTCCTCATACTCCCATACAATCCCTACAGCCACCAATCATTCCTTGCTTTTACAATTTTGTCATTTGATGACAGATACATAAACGGAATCACATAGTATGTTATCTTTGGGGATTATCTTCCTTTCATTCAAATAATTATCTGGAGATTTATCTAATGTTCTTGTGTGGATCAATAGTTTGATCCTTTTTATTGCTGAGTGATATTCCATGTTATGAATGTATCATCATTAACCATTTACCTCATGAAAAATATCTGAGTTGTTTCAGGTTTCAGATGCTATAGATAAAGCTGCCATAGATATTTGTCTACAAATTTTGTGTGACTATAACTTTACATTTTTCCGGGATGAATGGGCAGAACTACAATTGCTGGGTCTTATGTTAGTTACATGTTTAGTCATTTTCCATTTCTTTTTGGTTGACACACAATAGTAGTACATATTTATAAGGTAGAGTGATATTTTGATTAATGTATATACATATACATTGGGGTAATTAGGGTAATTAGGGTAATTAGGATATCAATCACCTCAAGCATTTACAGTTTCTTTTTTTTTTTTTAGACAGAGCCTCAAGGTGTTGCCCTGGGTAGAGTGCTGTGGCATCACAGCTCACAGCAACCGCCAACTCCTGGGCTTAAGCGATTCCCTTGCCTCAGGCACCCGCCACAATGGCCAGCTATTCTTTGGTTGTAGTTGTCATTGTTGTTTGGCAGGCCTGGGCTTGATTCGAACCTACCAGCTCTGGTGTATGTGGCTAGCGCCTTAGCTGCTTGAGCTATAAGCACCGAGCCTACAGTTTCTTTATGTTAGGTAAATTCACAATCCTCTCTTCTTACTTTTTGAATATACATGATAAATTATTAACTATATGCACTCCATAGTGCTATAGAACTCTAGAACGTATTCCTCCTAACTAGCTTTAATTTTGTACCCCTTAACCAACTGCTCTTTATCCTACCTACCCCACTCCACTTTCCAACCTTTAATAACCATAATTGTACCTTGTACTGCTACAAACTCAATTTCTTTTAGCTCCCATGCATGAGTGGGAAGATGTGGTATTTATCTTTCTGTGCCTGAATTATTTCACTTAACAAAATGACCTTCAGGCTCATTCAGGGCCAAGCTTGCCATTATGCTCTTTTGTTTTTAATCCATTGATTAATTGATGGATTGATTCTCTGTTTCTTGGTTCTTTGGTTCTTCCATGTTAAGCAAGAAGTTTTTAGTATATCATTCAATTCATCTATTTGTTTTTACCTTTCTTTAAGTGGTTGCTGTAGGGATTACAAAAGGCATCTTCAACACATCACCATTTATTTACCATTAAAATTGAATTAGCTCCAGTAAATCATCATTTTTATTTCTATTTACTCCATTTTGTGCTATTATTGGCATTGTATATTCAATTAATTTATAATATGAACTAAAAAATGATACCATCTTTGCTTTAAATAATACTGTATCTTGTAAAGATTTCCAAAGAAGAAAATTATATAGTGATTCATATCCATACATTTACCTTTTCAAGTGCATTTCAGTATTTTCTGTATATATTAGTTACCATTTGGTATCATTTCTCAACAGCTTATAGGCCTTCCAGTCTATCTTGAAATATAGGCCTGTTAGCAACAAGTTATCTTTGATTTTTTTGATTTCAAAATCTCTTTATTGGCTTTCACTTTAAAAAGATAATTTCATTAAATACAGTATTCTTGATTATTTTCCTTCAGCACTTTGAATTATCACCCCTACACTTGTTGACCTCCATAGTTTCTGATGAGAAGTCAGATATTTATACAGTGTATCATTTTTTTCTCTTGTTATTTTCAAGGTTTTTCTTTACCTTTACAACCAGTTTGACTACATTATACCTTACTGCAGTTTTCTTTGAGTTTATTCAAACTGCATTTGTTGAACTTAGTGGATCTTTAAATTAATGGCTTTTATCAAACTTAAGAAATTTTTGGCCATTTCTTCAAATATTTTTCTCTCACTTTTTTCTTTCATTCCATCCAGTACTAAAATTACACATGCATTGAACTACTTAATGATGTTATACAGGCTTGTAACTTGGGCTAATTTTCTTTACCCTTTTTGGTCCCTGGCTGTTTTTTGTTTTGGTTTTTTGGTTGGTTACTTTTTCTAGTTCTATCTTTAAATTCACAGAATTTTCTATTCAGATTTTCTGTTTTCATCTCAAATCTGTTATTGAGTACGTTTAAAGAGTTTTCATTTCATTGACGATACTTTTCAGCTCTAGGCTTGTCAATGAAGAGGTTGTTTCTATTTCTCTGTTGAGATTCTATAGCTCTTCATTCAGTGATGCCATGTTTCCTCTTATTTTTGAACACAATTTTCTTAAATCTTTGAATAGATTTATAATAGTGTCTTTGCTGCTAAATCTAACATCTGAGTCTACTTGAATCAGTTTCTACTAATTTACACTTTTCAGAGTGTCCCCCCCTTTTTTCCAAGTCTGATAACTTTTACTTTAAAGTTGTGACAAAGTAGATAGTACAGTGCAGCAACTGTGGATTCTATTTTGCTCTTTGATTATTAATTTGTTGCTGCTGTTTTAGCAGGCAATTAACTTGCCGGAATCTCCTGTCATGTGCAGCAGCTGGTATATCTGCTTATAAGTCTAAACAAAGGCTTCAAAAGATCCATTAAATATCCTAGACTTTTACAATTTTTAGAGTCAAAGTTTAGAAATTTACAACTTTTATTATAAATATTTTTTCATCTCATTTGAATTATGTGAAACTTTTCCCTTAAGTTTTACACATCAGATAATTCAGCTCTTGTAGCAGAATGCTAATATCTTAGGCTATTAAAAATTCAAATCAGTATTTCAGATATCTAATAAAAACTGTCATAAAAATTTGAAAAAATATGAAAAAAGCAAAATTTGAGATGCTAAATTAAAATAACAACTCGCCTACTAAAATATACTATAATTTTTTTTTGGAATTAGGTTCCACTTAAAAGATAGTATAATTTTTCTTCTCTAGATGAAGTAATTTTAATTAAAATACTAGGATAATATTTTAATTGAATTTAAATTTAAAAAATCTTAAAGAATCAAAATTACTGTAATAAAGTTCAACATCTGTTGCTTAAAAATATACCATATTATGTAGCATTGGAGTAATACTCACTTGGTTCTTACAACACACCATGCCTCTTCTAAAACATAATAATTCACATGTAACTCCACCAATTTATCTCTTACTTCTTGTGCGGACTTTCGGCTATATATAGAATAAACTATTTTTGTCCGGGCCCTTTAAATTGAAACAAAAGGTCAAAAGTTTTTAAAAGACAATAGACTAAAAAACCTTTTTTTGTCTTTTTTAATGAAATCATAGCTGTGTACATTAATGCATTTATTAAAATCTCAATGCCTACTGGAAGGAACATTGATATATATGTTCTGAAATAGCATACATTATTTGAGGAACAGCACTTACATATTCCTACTTATATTTTGAATGTGCTGAAATTTATAGCAATTTTAATTTTGCATATACTGTTTGTTAGTGCATAAAGTAGTCTACAGTTGTCCTGGGTAATAGAACAGAAGCTCAGGATATACAATTGTATCACACAATTCACAAAATTATTATGGAATATATTCTGATAGAGACTGAATGTAAACATCAATTTCAATAGGTAATTCATTAACAGAAGCTCTAAGAATCACATGAATTAAGGCTGATTGTATTAAGTAGAACATTTAGGTAATGGGCATCTGTGGTATCAGAACAGCTAGGAAAAGTACCTCAACAGGATCTTGAGAAATAGAGTTATCCACCAAATGGTACAATAGATGATTTGGCTCAAGAGTTCTCATGAAATCTGAATTAATTACCATTTGTGCATTAGATGTTACTTAGGATTTCAAGTGTAATGGGATGCCTAATCACCAGAACCAGACATAAAATGTAAAATATTTTAAAAATGTACCTCTAATAATAAGCCAAAAGTCCATTAAAGGGAAAAGAGTACCCTGACAATTACTAGAATGATCAAAACAATATTTTAAAGCCTTCCATATAAGGTAAACATTTAGTTTTATTTTTTTTTCTATGTTTTTAGTAGAGATGGAGTCTTGCTTGCTCAGGCTGGTCTTGAACTCCTAAGCTCAAACAATAGTCCTGCCTCAGCCTCCCAGATTGCTAGGATTACAGGCGTGAGCCACTGTGCCCATCCAGGAATCAAAGTCTTTTTTGAAACTAAGAGTTCAAATAATCAACTAGCAAAATACTCTAAATTTTCATAAAAACATGTAGCATAGCAAATCTCATATACTTTTTCTATTTATTAACAAAGGATAGCCATTGGCCACCAGTAAGATCTAGAAATGGTTTCTTAAAAGAGAGGGCATTGGCAAACAATAGCTGTGAGTCAAATCCATCCTATCTCTTCCTCTTACTATTTAGGAGTTTTACTGAAATACATACACACTCACAAGCCATGAATATGTCATATATTTTTCACGTTGAGACAAACTGGCTTTTACTTTTTGCAGTTTTCAGAAGTTTATGAAGCCTGATTCAGAGGCAACAGGTACATACTATCATTTCTGGATGCTTATTATAATTTTTTTTTAACTTCCAGCATGAATGTGAGGACAAGCACTTGTGTGTGCCCACATGTACATGTGTTTCTAAAATTCCTCCCAGTTCTGAAGAACCAGTAGTAAGTCGCAAGTAAGTCTGGTTGAATAATCAGTCAGCTGCCAACCTCAAGTCTGCATCCTCGTAATGTGGGTGATTCACAATGGGATGAAGTGTAGACAGCTTGATACTTGCCATTGTAGGCATGGCACCTGCGAAAACAGCATCTACAAAACACGATTATACTCCTCAATAAAATGTTTTCAAGAAAACCAAAAGTTAAAATTCTTTATAATATTTGAATCCAAATTTAGAAAGATGAAGCATATTTAAATAACTATTGACATCATTCTTTTTATTCCCTCAATATTTATTCATTGTCTACTACAATAATACAATAATAGCTAACTTTTGTTAAATGTTATTTTGGCACTAGAAACTGTGCTCATTATTTTTACAAGGATTAAACAACTTAATTTGTACAACTCTAAGATGTAGGCTCTCTGTTCTTGTTTTGCAGACAAAGATGTGACTGCAGAGACAGGGAAGTGAAGTGACTTGCCCAAGACTACACAGCTGGGAAGTGTCAGAGCGCACCCTCTCAGCCACATCCCTACAGCACCTGCCACGCAAGAGCACTATGCTAAGGGCCAAGACTGCAAAGAGACACACAGGGCTATCAACAGTGTACAATTTCATATTGTGTCTCAGTAAAATTCTAGAACTGAGAGACTGCAATTAAGGGTGAGCCTTGAGGTGTATCTTTCAAATGATTTTCAGAATGTCAGCTGCAGTCCTGTGGATGTGGCACACAAAAGTATTGTTTTCTTCCCTCAGATCATCTTCAAATAGTCCTGATTAACTTCTCTAAGTCCATTTGGCTTTACACTATTCATACATTCCATCAAATAATTTCATGCTTGCTAACAGTACTTTTTGGAGGAATAGCATGTATAATATAAATTTCATCATAACTAGAGACTCACCAAAGTCTATTATCTGACTTTAGTTTCATCTCTTGAATTACTGAAAGACTAAAACCTTACTTCCTGGCACTATTGTATAATAAATGATGATGGTTATTATCATTTTTAACCAGTGCAAAAAATCAGTAATAAAAATAAGACATGTTATTCTGCTGTAAATAACTGAACATTTACTTTCAAATATAACTAAACATCATAAATAGAACTCAGAATGAAAATCTCTTTATAAGCTTTAAATCTGAATATTTGTAAGTCAACTGAAATAGAAATGTATATTTATTATTGCAAGATTTAATAATTAATGATGATAAGCTATTAGGCTAGAGAAGATGATTTTGCTCCCCAGGGCCCACTATCAACTTCTGGAGACATTTTTGTCTCTAGAAATTGAGGGGTTGGGTGAGGAGACAATACTGGCATCTGGTAGGTAGATGCCAGAGATATGCTATGCACAGGAAAGTCCCCTATGTCAACAGGGCTAAGCTTCAAAAATCCTGGGAAAGAAAGACCCAAAACCTGGGTCAAGGTCATCCAGAAGAATCTAGGCATGCCTGTCCAGCAAGAGCCAGAAGCACTGAGAAGATCCCATCTACAGCAGAGAGGGACACCCCCGCCACCTTCTTTTCTTTAGGCAGTGAGATGAATGATCACAACAGGGAACAAGAAATAAGATATTTTTCTATTGGACATACTAAAGTTTCCATTTAGTCTACTGCATGGATTAGAAAAAGACATCTCCTCTGACTTGACAAAGTCCCACTGGTACATGGCTTGATGAATGGATTTCAGCTCCTATGTGTCCTTACAACTGCTTACCTTTGTGCAGTGTACAAACCCATACATGGTAGACCTGAATGTTAATATAAGTCCCATTCATATCTTAAAACTTCATGCAATTATTATTTTTTTTTGTAGTTTTTGACCAGAGCTGGGTTTGAACCCACAACCTTCGGCATATGGGGCTGGTGCCCTCCTCCTTTGAGCCACAGACACCGCCCAAAACTTCATGCATTTTTTAATGAACATGTGGTAACCATTAGAAAACTTGCAGTAAGTGGAATTTTTAAGAAAGAATGAAACAGATTGATAAGATCAGGGAAGAGGCAGCTAAAAATGAGAGAAGGGTTTACATGTTTATCTTAGAAGGATAAGTTGCTAAACATTGGCTTTCTGTGCCAGGAACCCAAGACAAACACTGGAACAAAGAAAGACATAAGAAAAGATTGAAAGAGCATGGAAAGCTTGAGGAAAACAGCTGTAACTGGAGAAGGGCAAGGGAAAAGAATAGGAGTGCCTATCTTGAGCTCCTACAGGTGAAAGTCAATTGGGGATTAATTTGAAATTTCCAACTAAAATGGGTTGGCAGTTTAATGCAGCACTGTCACCCCATCCTTTGAAAGCCATGGATACAATGTCTGAGCCGAAGCTTATAAAGATATATCTTAATGATGGTTAATTAATAAAATAGTGACTATCAAAAAAGAGATAAAAGGAAACCAACTCAAGGAGGCACAGAGAAGCTGTATCAGAGAAAGTTACCCAAATATCATAAATAGTCTAGGACCAAGATTATAGATTTATTATGCTCCATTATACAAAATATTGTATAATGTAATTGTTCTCTACAAAGGTATTGAGAAATGAGATATCTATTTGCTTGAGGTATTTCCCAAAGGTATGCTAAAAATAATATTTTGGAGTAGTTCAAAGTAGGATGTATACTCATTTCTGAGATCACTTGGTGAAGAAAAAAGAATATCTAAGATTTTAGCTCTCTGCATGTGGCTGTTTTACAGAGTCACAGGACATAGCACTGACTAAAGTGATAAGAAGGGTGCTATTTAAGTCAAAAGTATCTTCTCCAGTGGTCTGTCACAAGGTGTGAAATTTTGTTGTTAAAAATGTCTTTGTCATTATTACAGTTAAATAATGCTCTCTGAGAGTTATAGCACATAGCGTATAGAAAATGATTAATTCCTTGGTATTAATCAAAAATTTTTTGACCATTATCTAGGAGACGTTTAATGGGGACACAAAATTCCTTTTGGAGGGGGTTGACTGAGTGAGTGGTCACCGCAACTGGCATGTTCAAAATCTGTAAGGGCATGAACAACTATTTGTAAATCATAAATACACACAAACACATGTATATTAAATAACTTATAACATATACAAATGTGTATGTTTGTGTATGTGTGTGTGTAAAACGAACTACACATATAACTAAATAACTACATACCTGATCTAGTATTGTATCTAATCCATTGTATAAGTTCTTCCTGAGGCAAATTATTAAATTCTCCTATTATGTTCCATTGACTATGGAGATTTGTACAGCCTTGTATTGACATTACAGTTAGGATGCCAAAGATAACATTCTCAAAACGAACTCTGCAATAAAGCCAGCCAAAGAGCTGAAATGACAGAAATAATTTATTTATAACTTTTATACGAAGAGTGCCATAGGGCCAATAATAAATTCTCACCTTGCTCTTGAATCAAGGTGTATTAACCTTTGCTGTCAGCATACAAACATACAAAATTATTGTGTTTAAAAACAATGAACATATTAAAATTAGACTCAGATAATAATGGAGCTTTCTGTCAAAAGAACTCTCTCAAAAGAATTAAGCAAAGAGTAGAATATCCAATCCTTCCAGCACTGATCCACTATCAGGGATTAAGATTAGTGATTTGCAACTGTGAAACATCCTAGAATAAAAACCTTTAACATTGCACTGGCTTTTATGGATATTTTGAATAACTGGAGAAATCCTATTAGCATTGTCAGAGATATTCCTCTCAGAAAAAACAAGTGTTATGATATTTTAAGACAGTGTACTTCTGTTTTCAGAAATAGCTTAGTCCTAAACTTTTAGTTAATTCATCTAGCTAGTTTGTATGTTGGATACATAGTACAGTAATGGAATCCCAAGGTTTCTTAGGGATTCTTGGAGTGAAACAGAAATAAAGTAGAGCAATCACTCTGCTTTTACTCTCTCATTAGGTAAGTACTTGAGGGTACTCTGGTGAGCCAGGAGACTCTTCCAACAGAACTGAACTCGAAAAGATTATGTTTGTGGCTAGGTCGTTGATAGAAGGCAAAATGTGGATCACTGCTTGTCACAAAAATATGTAAAAATCTTAATCTTCAAAGCTACTTGGAACTGCTTTTCCTACTCCAAAGTGAATCACAGACTACATTTTATACATTATGTTAGTTCAGTTAAAAACACTTAGTATTCTGATGATTTGAATTTCCCAACAAAGCCATGGTAACTATATTACAGTTGCTACAGTTATCACAATGCAGTTATACAAGAATGAATTCCTTACCCGTTGAGAACAAATTAGGGAAGCCATAATGCACATATGTGGTGTCAAAAACATCTTCAGCCTCATAATTAAAATGGCAAGAGCAGTAAATGCTAACAACTGCAATGTGTGAAAAGCCAGCTATAAAAACACAAAGAAAACATGACATCTTAAAAATAATAAATATAAAATAAAATATATCAAAACTCCTATTATATTTATTATTACAAGTACCTTCTAACTTAGTAAAAACTAGATTAATATATTTATCCATTCATTTAAGAAGGTGTACTGAATGGTTTCTATAATTCCAGATACTGGTCTGGGCACTCAGATGCAACAGAGAGTGATTTCTGCCCTTGTAAGGCTTGTGTTTTGGCACATTCAGTAAGTAGAGAAAGGTAACAAATAGACATTGCAAATAAATTCACCATTACATAATATTAGAATGCGATCAGTGCAATGGGCAAGAAAATGGAGCAGGAAAGGAGCCAGAAAGTGCAGAAGTTGATGTTGAGGGTGGGGAGAACCATCAAGGCAGGGGTCCACTGATCAGGTGACATTGAGCACTGGCCCAAAGTGAGAGGTGATCCATGGGGACAGAAACTTAGGCATGGAATGCTCATAAAAGTACCTGTCATTCAGTTAATGACAGAAATCACAGCAGAACACAAACTAGATTAAAGTCGTGGAATTATATAAATATTTGTAGTAATTGGTAGGATACCCCATTATGATCAAAGTGAGGTTCTACTGAGTAAAGATTTAAACAAAACTTTTATAAGGATACATTCAGAAAATATCTTAAATTTTTCACAAAAAATGAACAATGAATATGGGCAAATAATTCAATAAAAAGTAAATGGCAACTAAATGCACATATTTGTGTTCTAACTCACTAATAGGAAAACAAATTAAGGGTTAAAGATAAGTGAGATATTTTCATCTATCAAATTGAAAAACACTACATTAACACTGATTGGTAGAGAAATGCAATAAAACAAACACTGAAATAATAAATCGATGTACTTTTGTAATTTAACAATGTTTATCAAGAGCTTAGAAAAGAGCCAATCCCTTTCACTTAAATTTCTATTCTAAGAATTATTTAAGAGAATAATTAAAACAAAGTTGTTCTAATTTTTAATAGCAAAAGCAGGAAACAATCTAAGTGACCAATATAGAGGAATAATTAACTAAATTACTTCATATCCATGGATATATAGCCACTAATAATTACACATTAAAGTATTATTTAGCGCCATAGAAAAGTTCTCAGGGTATAAAACTCTGTACACAGAGAATGATATTAATGCTGTGAAAACATCAATGTATATGTATGCATGGGGAGGTAGAGGGGGCTGAAAAGACTAAGAAAACATACCAGTATTATATTTATTAATTTAAATATATAATACCAATTTTTCTGCATTTAAAAAAGCTTTACATAAGCTTTATATTTTAATCAGAAATATTTATATTTCTTATTTATATTTGGTTTTTTTTTTTTTTTTGAGACGGAGCCTCAAGCTATCCCCCTGGGTAGAGTGCCGTGGCATCACGCTCACAGCAACCTCCAACTCCTGGGCTCAAGTGAGTCTCCTGCCTCAGCCTCCCAAGTAGCTGGGACTACAGGCGCCCGCCACAGCGCCAGCCATTTTTTGGTTGCAGCCATCATTGTTGTTTTGGCGGGCCCGGGCTGGGGATTCGAACCCGCCACCTTAGGTGTATGTGGCTGGTGCCTTAGCCGCTTGAGCCACAGGCGCCGAGCTTCTTATTTATATTTGAAACAGAATGGCAAAAACTCTACCCAAATCTGTTTTATTTCATTTTTAAAATAAGGATGTTTTTAAAAACAGAAATTCTTAATTTTTTTCATAATTCTTAGACACAACGTTGGGATGAGGAGCATTTATTTCAAAATCATCCTCATTTTTCTTTAGTCAAACTCATCAAACAAAATCAGGGACATACTGTAGAGGGAACAAAAAGACAAATCACATTTCAAACCCAAACAGGTCTTTTTGTTTAGAATCACTCCATCATAGACTGGTAGATTATCTTGGCCATCTACTTTAATCACCTATCCCAAACAGGCATCTCTTCTATAAACCTATGGACCAGATATTCACTCTTACGTAAAGAGGAATATACCATAGGACTATGTACTGCAATTCTGGATAGTTGTAAATGTTAGGAAAAAATTCCTAAAGCTAAGAAAGTATGTTTCTGTTACTTCCACAGAAGTACGTAAAATTAGTCTAAATCCAATGATGCATGAAAGTTCTATATTACTTACATATGTAATTATGACTCTGTACTATGCCCACCTTCAAAGCTTTCTATTTTTTAGGCTAAATATTCATAAAACTTCACTTATTAGGTCTGTGTTGTTCCAATTCTGGTTTTCCTTCTCTGGACATAGTAGAGATCGTACAGATTGTCTTAAAATGTGGTATCTAGAAATAGGCTTTGAGATACATGGTCTAACCAGCGCAAGTACACATATTATTTCTCTCAACATCCTTTCTTTGGCTATTTTGTACTGCAGAATGAACACTGTCATTTTCTCTCATATTCTATTCACTTCTACCTCAGCAACAACTTCTCACATGATCATCATCATTAAATACAAAGTGGCAATTTGTCTTGCCTTTTTTCTGTTATCTCAGAGGTAAAGGACCCTATTTTCATTTGGAGACTTAAAAAAGCCTGACCATTTCCTTACCTTTCCTGTATGTTTCTGTTTGATTTTGTTTTCTTGTGGCTGGATGACAGACTAGCAGCTATTACAAATGGCATAAATTAAGTTTGTTTTTCTTTATTTTATTTTTATTGTTGGGGATTCATTGAGGGTACAAGAAATAAGGTGACACTGATTGCATTTGTTAGATAAAGTCCCTGTTACAATCGTGTCTTGCCCCCAAAAGCTGTGGCACACACCAAGACCCCACCCCACTCCCTCCTTCCCTCTGTCTGCTATTTCTTTCCCCCACCCTGCCCTCCTTCTTTCTCTCTCTGCTATCCCCTTACCCCACCCCCACTGTGTCATTAATTGCCATTAACTGTCCTCATATCAAAATTGAGTACATAGGATTCATGCTTCTCCATTCTTGTGATGCTTTACTAAGAATAACATGTTCCACTTCCATCCAGGTTAATTCAAAGGCTGTAATGTCTCCATTTTTTTAATGGCTGAATAGTACTCCATGGTGTACATATACCACAGCTTGTTAATCCATTCCTGGGTTGGTGGGCATTTAGGCTGTTTCCACATTTTGGCAACTGTAAATTGAGATACAATAAACAGTCTAGTGCAAGGGTCCTTATGATAAAAGGATTTTTTTCCTTCTGGGTAGATGCCCAGGAATGGATTGTAGGATCAAATGGGAGGTCTCGCTTGAGTTGAGGGTTCTCCATACTTCCTTTCAAAAAGGTTGTATTAGTTTGCAGTCCCACCAGCAGTGTAAAAGTGTTCCCTTCTCTCTATATCCACACCAGCATCTGCACTTTTGAGATTTTGTGATGTGGGTCATTCTTGCAGGGGGTAGATGGTATCTCAGGGTGGTTCTGATTTGCATGTCTCTAATAATTAGGGATGATGAGCATTTTTTCACATGTTTGTTAGCCATTCGTCTATCTTCCTTAGAGAAGGTTCTATTCATGTCTCTTGCCCATTGATATATGGGATTGTTGGCTTTTTCGTGTGGAATAATTTGAGTTCTCTATAGATCCTAGTTATCAAGCTTTTGTCTGATTCAAAATATGCAAATATCCTTTCCCATTGTGTAGGTTGTCTATGCTTTGGTGGTTGTCTCCTTAGCTGTACAGAAGCTTTTCAGTTTCATTAAGTCCCATTTGTTTATTTTTGTTGTTGTTGCAGTTGCCACGGCAGTCTTCTTCATGAAGTCTTTCCACAGGCCAATATCTTCCAGTGTTTTTCCTATGCTTTCTTTGAGGACTTTTATTGTTTCATGCCTTAAATTTAAGTCCTTTATCCATCTTGAATCAATTTTTGCAAGGGGAGAAAGGTGTGGGTCCAGTTTCTGTCTTTTACATGTGGATATACAGTTCTCCCAGCACCATTTATTAAATAGGGAGTCTTTCCCCCAATGTAGGTTATGTTTGGTTTATTGAAGATTAGGTGGTTGTAAGATGTTACTTTAATTTCTGGTTTTCTATTCGATTCCAAATGTCTATGTCTCTATTTTTGTGCCAGAACCATGCTGTCTTGACCACTATGGCTTTGTAGTATAGCCCAAAATCTGGTATGCTGATGCCCCCAGCTTTGTTTTTATTACTAAGAACTGCCTTAGCTCTACAGGGTTTTTTCTGGTTCCATACAAAATGCAGAATCATTTTCTCCAAGTCTTGAAAGTATGATGTTGGTATTTTAATAGGGATGGCATTGAATCGGTAAATTGCTTTGGGAAGTATACACATTTTAACAATGTTGATTCTTCCCAGCCATGAGCATGGTATATTCTTCCATTTGTTAATATCCTCTGCTATTTCCTTTCTTAGGATTTCATAATTTTCTTATAGAGGTCCTTCACCTCTTTTGTTAGGTATATTCCTAGATATTTCATTTTTTTTGAACCTATGGTTAAGGGAGTTGTGTCCTTAATTAGTCTCTCATCTTGGCAGTTATTGGTGTATACAAAGGCAACTGACTTGTGGACATTGATTTTATATCCTGAGACATTACTGTATTTTTTTATGACTTCCAGGAGTCTTGTGGTTGAGTATTTGGGGTTCTCTAAGTATAAGATCATATCATCAACAAAGAGGAAGAGTTTGACCTCCTCTGTTTCCATTTGAATGCCCTTATTTCCTTGTCTTGCCTAATTGTATTGGCTAGAACTTCCAGCACTATGTTGAATAGTAATGGTGACAGAGGACAACTTGTCTGGTTCCAGTTCTAAGAGGAAAAGCTTTCAGTTTTACTCCATTCAGTAAAATATTAGCTGTGGGTTTGTCATAGATAGCTTGGATTAAAGAAATGTGCTACGTATGCCTATACTCTTCAGTGTTCTAATTAGAAAAGGATGCTGGATTTTATCGAATGGTTTTTCTGCATCTATTGAGAGGATCATATGGTCTTTGTTTTTGTATCTGTTAATATGGTGGATAATGTTTAT